GGTCAAGTATCTTCAGCTTTTAGCCTTTCTTTGCTTGCCTTATGGACAGCTTGTGGAGCTCAGGGTTTGCTGTCACATCGGTTTTGTAGGCTGTGCTGGCTGGCATAACAAAGTTTCTGTACTTCCCTTACTTCGACAAGTGCTTTGTAAATCCCTTCTGGACAGGAGTCAGGCTGCTGCCACTGCACAGGGACATGCACAGGAGGGAAAGAGTTAACCAGTCGCACCCAAGCACCCACGTAACAGGTGTATAAATCAGTGGAGGAGGAAGTGAGATTGACTGTTAGGTCACATGCAGCACCATTTTATCCTCTGACTTTGGCTTGGTGTCTGAGCATTTTCTTTGCAGACCTTATGTGTGCAATCCATGGAACTTGGGTGCCCTGGGGAACTTGTTTTTATTGCTAGGCTGGAAGCAGCTTTGACAGAAACATAGCTGCCACAGGGGAAGGGGAAAGGCCATTTCTGTTTATCATTTCCCCCCACCACTGTAGCTTGCTAGACCACAGTTACTACCCACGCACGGTACCTGTTCTCTGATAATCCTGGGGGATGGGGAGCAGGGGTGGTTGTGGGTTAACCAGTAGCAGCTCAGCACAACACAGCTGCCTGCTTACTCCCCTCCCTTGCCCAGTGGGAGCAAGAGAGACAGAGGAAGAGGAAATGAAGTCTAAACCCAAGAAAATTCATGGCATAAAAATAGTTAAATATGTGAAGGAGAAGTGGAGGAAAAGAGAAACGGAACAGAAGAAAAGAGATGCAAAGGTGGTCGCTCACCACCTCCCGTGTGTAGATCAATACCTAGACGCTTCCCTACCAAAAGATGGCTAACCCACCTAACCACCCCTCCCTTCCAGTTTTATTTCTGTCACTATATGGCATGGAACATCTCTTTGGTTAGTACGGGTCATCTGCCTGCTTGCATCCCCTCGCAGCCTTTTGTGCACTCACAGTATAGTCACATCTGAAACACAGCACCACACGAGCTCCTGTGAGGAAAATTAACAATCAGACTGGCAGTTCTTCCCTAAGCTTTTTTTCTCCACCCCACTGTAGCAGTCCATTGAATATCCCCAGGAGGCTTTTCAGGCTTGCCCAATACTTCTTGCTTGTGCTTTGTTTTACTCTGGAGAGCCTACCAGGGGGCTTGCTGAGGCCTGCATGCTGTGATGCTAAGCTTGGGAGGCTTAAAAAGTTGTAACACAGAGGTTTGAGGTACGTGAGTGATTTTTTTGCCCTTTTTTGTTTGTTTGTTTTGTCTGTAATTTCAGAGAACTCCTTCCCTCTCCTTCTGTGGTATTTTGGAGCAATGTTACTAAGAGGTTTCCTACAGAAAACAGTAGGAAAAAACAGCTCCTGCAGAACTTCCTGCTTGGAAGTTCATGCAGATTTGAGCAGATACACAGGTCATGCTAAACTCCTCTGGCGTTTTACTGCACTTAATGTTAGACAGCATTACAAGGGTAGAGGGCAGTGCACTAAGCTGCAAGTAAACAGCAGCACGGGGGTAAAACCACTGAAGATGTCTGAGCAATGCAGAGCACTCTTCCTGCCTGCTGGTGTGCTTTCATCCAAAGTATCCCTTTTGAAGCTGGGAACTCACTACAGTGTTGGCATTCCCTTCATGACACCCGGGCAGTGTGTGGATGCAGGTGTTGTGCTGTGGCAACCTGATTTAAGCCAGGGTAAAGTGTACGAAGCTACAAGTTGTGCTGGTTCCCTGATGGACCCAGGGGAGCACGTGCTGTTGATAAAGAGTTACCTCTGTGCCAAATTAGGAACTGAGCAGTGTGGAAACTTGTGTTCCCCGTGGAAACACTCTGCCCCTAGGAAGGATCTGCTGATATCTACTGGCTTAGGGCTGCAGAGATTTCAGGCAAAAACTATCAGTAGTTGTAGACTAAGAGATGGTATTTTGGCTAGTAATTTTGTTTGCTGGGAGCAGTTAGCTCTGTACAGCCCTTGTGATACGACATCAGCTGGGCAGCCCTTCTTCCACCCTGCTTTTAGCAAATCCTAGCTGTGAGTGCTAAGAAGAGATGAGAACCATTGTGTGAGGTCCATCAGCTGCTTCATCCCTGGATCTAAGGCTGTGTAAAATCATCTGGAAGGACTCTCCCCGTCCTCCTGAGTGCAGGATATAGGATCAGCATTCTTTGCACTTGGTATGTGTCCTGTGAGCCTGACTGGAGCTAGGAGTCTCATCTCTCAGAAATCCTTGCTTTTACAGTGTTTTCACTTGAATGACTTAAGGCATCCAGGCAATCCGTAAAGGAATGTTTTTGGAGCTGAATCCTTAGGGTGAATGACATGGGTTGCCTGGCAGTGTGTCAATTGCTAAAAAGCAGCTCTTTCATTTACCTCTATAAAGAAAGTAATGCTTAACCAGAAATGCTTGGGGTTGGCATAAGTATTTGCATATGGTCACTTTTGTGAGGGAGTGAGTGCCCTGTGTTTTAATTGCAGAGAAGGAAGACTGGGTTTTGCTCTATGGTCTTTGTCAGTCTTTGGTGAAGGGAATGAGGTCTAGGCTGCAAAATAAACTAAAGCAGGCGGATACCGAGTAGAATCTTCAAGTGATGCAGAATTCTTCTGGTTCTTCAGAAACAAGACTGGAAAACTGTGGCTGGAATGGATAGCATAACTGAAGTGTCTTGCTCTATGCAAGAACCTTTATCTGCTTGCATGGATGTGTCTGTGCCAAGGGCCTTCTAGATGCAGAGTTTCTGACTTTTGCTGGGAGCCCATCTTCTTCTGACTCTGTTGTAATCAAATGACAAACTGCATGTGTTTTCTAAGGAGGCACATGTCAGAAATGCAACATGCTGATGATGAAGCAACACTTCATGAAGCTCAGTTTGTCAACCCTTCAGAGTTTAAATGCTGTGCTGCCCTGGAGATGTTGCAGTGAGCTGGTACATGGGCAGGCAGATGCTCTTGAGTGGGTCCCAGCTGCAGAACAGGACACTGACAACAGGTACAGCTGGAGCTACATTTTCTGGTATTTACTGAGAGGCTCTGTTTTAACACTAGTGCACTGAGAGCACGGGGCAGCATTGCCTGGATCTTTTATGGTACTGATGACAAAAATGAACCAGCAGGTGCACCAAGACTGCAGCCTGCTGGACAGAGGACAGCCATTTTCAGAGGGCTGTGAGTGAGAAAGTGGGGCTGGATGTAGCAGAACGTGAACAATGCTGTGCTGGGCACACCACAAGTATCACAGATGGTGTGATCACCAGCCAAGTGATAATATTTGCTGTTGTAGGCATTCAGACTGCAGCGTCACTGAAGTGATAGTGGGGTATATCTGACTGGTCTTTTTGGGAAGCATCCTGAAATTTCACTGGAGTTTGACTCTAGATGGAGCCTTCCACTGATCCACTGAATAAAAGTACTTGGTTAGCTGCCCTTCAGCTGCTAAGTGCATTAGCATGTAGTCTTTAAATGCACAGCACCATAGATTTAAAGATGAAAATGTATTTTTCACCATAGGTTTCCCTGTTCCTTAGGAAGGTGGTACTAATTTGGAGACCTCTCCAAATTTTACCTCTATAACCACCAGGTGAAATGTTGAAATCCTTATGGATCATCACTGTACTGGCCCCAATAAGCCTCATAAACTCAGTATTTTGGGGATATACTCCCCTATATGGAAAACAAGCTGGATACTGATTTCTGATTTTTACAGATCTTGTTGTGAAGCAGTGTTTTATTTTGTTTCATTGCTTTGTAGGAACTCATGGCATTGTGCTTGAAGGATCTAGAAGAGAGAAAAGAGCAAGAAGCTGGTAACAGAAGGAGCGTAGAGCAGGCTGTGAATGATGTGAAGGTAAAGTGTGGTTTCCTTCCCCACTGGATGGTCATATTCCAAGGAGAGACATTTTGTTTTCTCTGTACTTATCTAAAGACCCAGACACCTACTGCTTCTCAGGAAAAGAGTGTATATCCCTGTGTGCATCACAATATATCACACTATCAAAGGGAGAGAAGAGGGAAAGAGTCTCCAAAGACCTGGTCCTCATTCCCTGATCAGCTGAACATCTCTGGAAGAACAACGTTGAAGTTTTTGTGCAGAGGAATAGCAGATAGCCCGAGCTGCCTATGTTATTCTGGCTTCACTGATGTATGTTACATTGCACTGAGCTGCATTACTGAGAGTTTGAGTAAACACAAGAACAGCTCTATTGATTCTGTCTTAAGAATGGGAATGTATGCTAAACTGCACCTCGTTTACAGACCATGAAATGGCTTTTGCCCTAAGAAGCATCTCTAAGCAGCTCTATCACAGAAGTATCAGTAAGATCTGGAGGGAGCTCTAGAGGTTTGATGTCACTTTGTTTTGGAGGCTTTCTCTTTTTAGCAGCTCCTTGTCTCTAGCTTGCTTTGAAAGAGGTCAGAGTCTTGGTACTGAAGGACCAGGTCTGCCTCTTGTTGCACTTAGTACCTGATCCTGTAAATTCCAGCTGAAAACAGCACTCTCTGCATAAATAGGCATCTTAGAATCTTCCCTCAAGCTTTTCCATCCAGACATCAGCAGGTAAATCCTGTCTGCCCTCCCTTAAGGGGTAGACACATGCTAGCGAAGAGATGCAGAAAAGTCAGTAAAATTGAACCAAAAGGCAATGTTGAAAGCCTGAGAGAAATATCTGAAATGTTTATGGTCTGGTGAGTGTGGGGAGACACTCTTCTGCTTCATCTACAGGCACATGCCAATATGATCAAACGGCAGCTGTCAGAAAAAGTGACCGAGCTCCAGTTACTTCTTCGGGAAGAAGAGAGTCTGGCAGAAAACTTCATTGATGAAAAGACTCAGCAAGCCCTAGGAGCACATGCTCAGCAGCTGGAGTCCTGTCAAGAACAGCTTGCAGCCCTAGAGACCTTCTCGTGTCGGATCAGACAAATACAACAGGACAGTGATCCTATTCAGTTGCTGGAGGTGGTATTGTATGGTCTCGTTCTGCCTCTTACCCTCACAGTCCTTGATAAACTGCTCTAGTGATCTCTTCTGTAGATCCTTCTGTGTGTAAGCAGCATCTTTCTAACTGCTTTTTAATTTTCTTTGTGTTGGTGTTTTCGTGAACCAGTTTGTTACCTGATTTTTGTTAGGTGTTCCTGCTATGGCATTGGTTTCAGATCTGTGCGAAATCCATGTCAATTTTAAGCATATATGGAATAGAGAGATGTGTCTCTTGATCTTGAAGACAAATGCTGTATCAGGTCTTTCCTTGTCCAGTGTCATACGAAGATCTGAGGAAAGGCAGCCCTATTGGGAGCTGTTTTAAACCATGACTGCTGGGTTCTCCATCTCTGGGGTGGCCCCTGGCTCCACTGCCAGGAGAAGTAATGGGCAGGCTAATGAGCTAATAGGCAGTCTGAACACAACAAAGCTTGCCTGTTATGGCCCATAGGTTTACCTAGTGATGGAGCTGTCCTTGCTCTGCCTTGTGGGGGAGCTGGGAGGGAAGAGTCCTTTCATGTCACTGTCTCTGCTAATTGGAGAATTTGGCTTTCTGCCCTCAGAAGTACATAGAAATCGAGAAGGAAATGAAGGAATCCAGGCACCTGAGAGAACAGTGGCATCCAATACCTCTCTCATTTGAACACATACTTAACCATTATAAGCACTTCTTCAGAGTTCTTCAGTCCATTCTACAGAAACCACTAGAAGCCCGGCTTAAAGAAGGTATCTGGGAGAGTGCTCTGAATTTTGCTTTCATCTGCTCTCTTTGTAAATAAAGTGTGGTTTGCAAGTAAGAACAGGACTTTTACCAAATCAGCTGGAGAAAACAGCAGTGCTTCAGTCAGTCTTTTGTTTGTCTGATGCTTTTTTCCTCCAGTTCTGTGCAGTTATTTCAATACAGTTTACTTCTTTGCAGACCGTCATACCTGCACAATATATGTATTCTCTCCTTTCAGTTACTGTTGGGTCTGAGTGCTCTGGCACTGAACATTGGCTACCTGTAAAATTTGAAAGCTTTTTCTAATTGATGTACCCAGTGATCTTTCTGCCTCAGTCAGAAAAAGTTCTGTGCTTTTTGGTACTCTAAAGGTGAGCTAACGTGTTCTATTTAGAATTACTTTTGTCTTTGAGCTAGTATTTCATCCTTAAGTGACCTTTGTCATGATTAAGGGAGGAGTTTCCTAATGGGACACAGAACCACAAAGCCACATAACCATGGGAAAACCCTGCTGCTCATTGAGTGAGCAACACTGGCCATCACATTTCACCCAGCTACCTTTTAATAATCCCTTTTCTGAGAATTGCCAAGAACAAAATAGCAGGGTGCTGGGGCAAATGGTCAGAGCAGATCTGAAAGGCCACTGCAGATTGTGTGTAGGATTGCTAGACAGCATCGTGGAGGTGCTCTGTAGTTAGCATCTGCAGCTGTCTTCAGCTGCCTGACTGCTCTCGTCTGATAGGGGCTGCTTTTTAAGGAATCAGATGTGATTACTTGGTGTTGTGCTCAGTTGTGTAGTTCTTTGGCAACACAGGAATCCAGCATCTCTGTGCTATCCAAAGAGCATAAGATTGAAAGCCTACAGAGTGAGTAGCCCTTCCCCAGAAAAAGTAACAGAGTTTGTCCATGAAGTTGGAAAATGGAAGTTGAAGAACTGGCAGACTCCCTGAACTGTCCCTTTTCATCTCTGTCCAGATGTTTTCAGTAGCCTTAACGCCACTGCAAAGAAGGAACCTGGAACAGTGTTGAAAACCATGACTCCTGTTGATCGGTTGCTTTTCTTAAAACGTAAGTATGGTCACAGAATCCTCAGATCTCAAGTTGGAAGGAACCCACAAAGATCACTGAGGTCCTGGCCTTGCACAGACAACCCCAGGAATCACATCATGTGCCTGAGATCATTGTCCAAACACTTCTTGAACTTTGTCAGCCTTGAGGCTATGACGAGTTCCTGGGGAGCCTGTTCCAGTGCCCAACCACTCTCTGGCTGAAGAACCTTTTCCTAAACCTAAACCTAAACCTCACCTGGCACAGCTTCATACCACTCCTTTGGGTCCTGTCACTGGTCTCCAGAAAGGAGATCAGTGCCTACCTCTCTGCTTCCCCTCATGAGGAAGCTGTAGACTGCAGTGAGGTCTCCCCTCAGTGTTCTCTCCGAGCTGAACAAGCTGAGTGACTGTAGCCACTCTGCATACAGCTTCCCTTCATCCCATCACCGTGAGTGACCCAGACCAGAAAGCTATGGAGGCATCAGTGTTGGTGCCCTGCCGTGATTCCCTTGGCATGCCTTTTCCAGCCCCATTGCCTCTGGAGCTGTAGGTTCCATGGCTCTCTGAAGCCTAACCTTAACCCTAACGGCAGGTTGGTGCTGTGGCTGAGGCCCCCATCACCCTGGTGGCCCAGGTTAGAAAGGTGTGGAGGCAGTAGTGTTGGTGCACTGCCATGATATGCTTGGCATAAATTTTCCAGCCCCAGCATCCTCGGAGCATGTAGGCTCTGTAACTTGCTGAACTCTATCCCTAAGAGAATCTTGGTGCTACAGCTGATGTCCCCATCACAAGGGGTGGCCCAGATGTGAAAAGTGTGGAGTCAGCAATGTTGGTACCCTGCCTTATTTAGACTGGAACGCCCTTTCCAGACCCAGTGTCCTTGGACCTGTAGGCTTCCTGATTCTCTGAGCCATAACCCTGTAACGAAGTGTTGGTGCTGTGCCTGAGGTCCCCATCACTGTGAATAGCCCAGATTACATAGGCGTGGAGGCAGCAATACTGGTGCCCTGCTGTGATCCCTCTGGCATGCCTTTTCCAGCCCCAGTGCCCCTGGGACAGCGGGATTTCTGTCTCTGTCTCTGTCCTAAGACACTGCTGGCTGTGGGCTTCTTTACAGGCGTTTTTTAACTCAGAGTTCTTCCAAGGGTCATGATAAACGTAGTAAGTATGTTTATGGCTTTGGCCGCAGATGCAAGATCACCAACCTGGGAATACGACAGCATTCACCCAAGACTGAAACTGTCCGATGACCGTCTTGAAGTAAGCTGCAGCTGGAGGAGGATATTTTACCCCTGTGGTCCCCAGAGATTCGATAAATTATGGCAAGTGCTAAGCAAAGACGCATTCCTCTCTGGGAGCCATTACTGGGAGGTTGACCTGCTTCATGCTGGAGCCGGCTGGTGGATTGGCGCAGCCTACCCTTCCATTGGCAGGAAAGGAGACTCTGAAACCTGCCGGCTGGGCTGGAATAGAGCATCTTGGTGCCTTAAGAAGTTTGAACTGGAATACTGGGCATTTCACAAGGGGGAGAGAATCCCCATCGTGGTAGAGGATGATCCTGACCGCATTGGCATTTTTCTGGATTATGAAGCAGGAATCCTTTCATTCTACAATGTTAGTGATGGAATGGCTCATTTGCACACCTTCCACTGCAAGTTCACAGAACCAGTATATCCAGCCTTGAGACTCTGGGAAGGGTCCATTAGAACATGCAAATTACCATAAGGAATGAAGTAAAAAAAAAAAAAAAGCCTACTATTTTATGCTTTTTCTGTGAAAACCACTTTAGCATGAATTAATCTCTGTATGAAAGTTGTAACTATGATGCTTTTAGGAGGTAACAGTAAGTTCAAGAAAACCAATTGTAATTTTTAATGCCTCTGTCAATGGGGGAAGGTGATCAGGCTCTTGTAAATGGTGTTGATGTACCACCTGAAGTGCCATATGTAATATTTTTTTATGTTTTTCAACTTGCAAAATGGAAAAAGTCTAGTTGAAAGAAGCATATTACAGCTCAGAGTGGCATGGGGATATTGACATATTTTTTATGAACTTCCTCCCCTCATCTGTCTGGAGAGGCTGCAGTTGTGTACGGTAATGGGTTTAGTTTGGTTCAAGCTCAAGTTTATATATTGTATATTGTTATAGCTGACAAGGTCAGATTTGGATAATAAATGCACTAAGTGAATTACCTTATACTTACATGTCATCTTGGAAAAATCAAAGACTGGCACGGACTTTTGGAAAGGTCCCTTCTGAAGTAGGAGCTTTTGAGGCCGCATTTAATAGCCACTAACTGGTCTTACATGTGACAGGGACTTTGAGTTGGGCTTCTGGATGGCCCTATTCTTCCCTATTAAGTGGAAACGTGAGAAACAGCCGTGTACAACCTGCAGCAGAGTCCGAAATGCCTGGAAGGCCCACAGGGGCAATAAAAACACCAGGTCAGTGGGGCATTTATGCTCAACTTATTTTTCTGTCCACTTTGCAAAGGCTCTTTAACTGCAGCTGGATAAACATCTGTTCACATACAGACGCAGCTCGCAATTTTCTGTATATGGATATTTTTTCCCCCAATACATTAATTAAAGTCTTGGAAATTTTTGGAGCCTATGTTTACAGCACTCTCTAGGACCAGCCCTGCTAGACTCAAGAACCACTGCTATTTGAAGCAGGTCAGGTAATCTTACAGTTTTCAAATCCTAAAGGCCCTGGAGCCATCAACAGTGCTAGCAAAGGCAAGGTCTGACCATAGGCTGAAATGGAGAAACAAGAGCTTGTTTTATAAGCTGAATCTATTTTTCAAATTTGAAATAAAAAAAAAAATCTTTTAACAATTGAGTAGTTTTTTATTGTAAGGCAAGCATGCTGTATCAGTCACAGCTCATGTATGTTCAAGCACATGACTCAATCTCTGCTTCCCCATTTGAAGATATGAGTACAGTTTCCTCAGAATTGCAGAAGGGTAAACATTTTGAAAGTGAACAGCTCACAGGTACAGAAACACCCACCACCAAATTCTAGGTACTTCACCACCTCGTGATGAAAATAAAAGTAGCAAGTTCCAAGTAACCATCACTAGTAAATGATTCCACCACAGAAAAAAAAAAGGAGATGAATTACACCGAAGCAGTTCTGTGCTCAGAGAGGTAACTGGGGAATGCCCAGTTTGCAGCTGCTTCCATATGGCTCCTTCTTGGTCACAGGGAAAAGCAGCAGGCTCACAGCAGTGGGATTGCATTTCTTACTTGGAAAGTGAGAGGCTGGGACACAAGAGTAGAGCACACAAGAGGTGCACTGACCATCACGTAATGATGTGATGTCAGGCAGTCAGCCTTGGCCATCTCAAATTCCAGTGTTGAGGGAAAACCCCTAACATAATGTATTTGCTTGTTAGTACAGGAAAAGGGCTGTTCAATCTTCACCAGCACTTGTCTTCCTACCCGAGAAGTTACACCCCCCCCCCAGGTCCAAACAGAGGTATCCAAATGCTCTGCAAAACTGATTTAAGGTCTAGTCCTCACTCAGCTCACAACAGATGCTTCTGACAAATTTTAAAGCATAGGTTAAGTTTATTTCCACTGATTCATCTCAGAGCTACTTTTCTCACCTGCTTAATTTGTCTGGCTTGCCCTCCTGCCTTTCAGTTCACAAAAATGTTCCCTTGCCCCTTAAATGGGACCTTTCTACATATCCAGTATGCTTCTTTTCTTGGTACTGTCTCTTGAAAACCTACATTTCTCAAGAAGCCCATTTTCCCACAGAGGGCAGATTCCTGCAACCCACTGTTTTATCACAAGACTTTTCATCTTAAGGCTTTCATCTCGAGAAAAATTCATCAGGTTGCATGTGTAGTTTTCTGTTCAGGGCATGTGAACTTTCACTTAGCTGCCTTCAACTCCAGCTAGAGTCCTGCTATTACTGGGGTGAGGCAAATGGCAGAAAAGAAAGGAACATCAAAAGATAAGGGGGTAGAACAACTCAAAAGTTGTTCTAGTAGAAAGTTTTCTAGTAGGAAAAATTCTTATGATTTACTGTATTCTTAACAGAAAAAGGAAGCCAGAAAGCACAGACTGTGGTCTCAGATTTGGCAGAACTCCGAGTTAATCTAGGTTAAGTGGAATGGAGAAGGGAGGAGCATGGTATTTCCTAGGCACAATGCTATACGGTTTCTAATAAAATGCTCTTCGTAATTTATATCCCCTTGCTTCAGAAACTTCCTACTAATGAGAACCTGAAAATGCTAACCTGCTTGGATCCCCATAATTATGCCCCTTTCTTTGCTACACTTAAATATGCTGTGCAGCAGTACAGCGTGAAACATGGAGTGGAGCGCTTTGGTTTAGCACTTCACTTTTTTTACATGATTTTCCACTACTTGCTCAGTGATGGTTTCATCTTCTTCGATACTTTTTTTAACCTTCTGGCCCACCAGATCGAAGATGGATTCCGGGGGAAATCCCTTCGGCTCTCCCACCTTCACGGTCAGCATGTCAAGTGTCAGGACGGCACCTTCAGGAATTGCCACTTTCGCCACAACAGACTTCCCCAGCTACAGGAGAGGGGTGGGGAAAAAAAGTTTTAAGTCAAACACATTGCTAGGCTTAGTATACGAAAAAAAAGGATAAAAAATATTCTGCAGTTATTTGGGAACAGGTTGTGCCCTCTGCATTGCTTATTCCAAATGAAGGCTGAGTTAGCCATGGACACCTTCACACTGTAACTGGGCTGCTGGGAACATCCAGATCCTTTCTGAAACTGGATGGTGGCTTGCTGGAATGTTCCAAAATCACAATGGAGGGAATCTGATTAGAAGGACTGGTATTTTAGCTTAATGTAAAAGCAGCTCATATACAGTCATAGAGACATATTGTTCCCATTAGTGTTACTGAGTACTTGGCACGCGTGAGGCCGCACTCGAATACTGTGTCCAGTTTTGGGCCCCTCACTACAAGAAAAACATTGAGGTGTTGGAGTTGAGTCCACAGAAGGGCAACGAAGCTGGTGAAGCGTCTAAAGATTTATGAAGAGCAGCTGAGAGAGCTGGGGTTGTTCAGTCTGGAGAAAAGGAGGCTCGGGGGGACCTTCCTGCTCTCTACAACTACCTGAAGGGCAGGTTGTAGCCAGGTGGGGGTCAGTCTCTTCTACAAGGCAATTAGAGACAGGACAAGAGGAAATGGCCTCAAGTTGTGCCAGGGGAAGTTTAGATTGGATATTAAGAAAAATTCCTTCACCAAAAGGGTTATCAAGCGCTGAAACAGTTTAGAACAGGGAAGTGGTTGAGTCAACATCCCTGGAGTTATTTAAAACATATGTGGCACTCAGGAACATGGTTTAGTGGTGGACATGGCAGCGTTAGGTTAGCAGTTGGACTCGATGACCTTAACTGTCTTTTCCAACCTAAATCATTCCATATTTCTACTCAACTTATTTAACTACTGGATGATAAACACAGAACTCCATCATACTCAAAACTGCCAACGTAACGCGGTGAGAAATTTTTTGAGTGCAGAGGCAGGAACACTACTGCAATAAACAAACAGCAAGCTATTTTTCTGAATACAGATTATTAGCCGTAGGTCTAAACGGGCTGCAGGTTTACATGAATCAAAAGCAAAAGTTACCTTTTCATTGCAAGCCATTTCACAGGGCAAGAGTTGTTTGATTGGAGAACCCATTGCTTTTTCCACAGTACGGATGGCTCTCACCAGCTCCGCCAGTTCGTCTGGCTCCAGAGATGCCTGGTGGTCGCTTCCTTTCCATGTTTTGTCAAGGGTCACGTGGCGTTCCACTACTTTAGCACCCATAGCAACAGCTGCCACTGAAATGGCTATGCCAGTTTCATGTCCCGAATAGCCAATGGGGATATCAGGAAAAGCTGACTGATACGCCTTGAATCACGACAGAGTTGGTCTTAATTACCAAGGTAGCAATTTCAAAGACAAAGCAAACTTAACAGTGATAACTGCAATAAAAACCCAAGGGCAATTATTGTGGCACAAAACAAGCAGCTGGTTATTCTGAGAATGCATTTTTTTACATTCAGCAAGTCACACTGCATTACCAATTGCCACGTTCCCAATTTCACTAACATTATCAATACTAACAAGAGAAAGCAGGTATGTTCTTTTCTACCACTTAATGTTTTTCCTTTTAATTCAGTTCTACTATTCCAGGTCTTCAAAGCCTACATCACTGTAAGTAACAGTAACGGAGTAGCATTCTATTTTCACACAAGAACCCAGTGGACTGGTAAAACTTAACCTACATCCAAAGCAGATTTCTTCAACTCTGTATTTCAATTCTGAAGCAATATTTTAATCCATACATAGGGGACAGTCACCCAGTCCTAAAGGCAATTAAATGCAGCCATGTCACATTCTGCTAAAAATAACATACTACATGTGAATAAATCTAAGCTGGTGCTTGAACACTGGCCAGTTTGGGAAAACTTCCTTATACCATTATTAGGCATATCCAAGTAATATTTCCAGTGAAGGGAACTATACTAGGGTCTAATCGATTTTCTTCTCTACTCTGATACTCACATGAAGCTTTTTGACCAAAAGTTGCTGGTCTAGCTCCCTATTTAGAGTTACGTTCTCACTTCCATGCACTTTCTTAACAGTACATAATTTTTCTTTGCATTATAAAGCACAGGGTTAACCTGTTAACCAAATGTTGTATTTTCCTCTGTTGAGCTGTGAATACTCCAGTAATATCCTTTATCATACTCCTCAAAGACGAGTTTTGCTAAAAAAAAAAAGGATCTTTTGGGTGTTTTTAGTTCAACACTTGCATGAATTAGAGGAACATGATACACCTTTTAACTTCTCAGAAGCAAATTCCAGCATGGCAAAGATCTGGAAATGTATCTCAGCAGAAGTGCACGGCCCTTCTCTGCTACCCTACGCAAGGGTTACTCACTGACCGATATAACACGGAGATTGACATCCTCTGGCTGAAGTGGGTAAGCACTGGTGCACTGCAGGAAGCAGAAGTTTGGATTGATGGGCTTCACAATCTGATAAACCTGCTGCATTGTGTTCATGGACTGCATGCCGCTGGAAATCACCATTGGGCGACCTAGCCATTAGAAAATGCACAAAAATTTTGCCGTAGGCCTGCAAGAAAGCTACACAGGATTAAATTAAGGTCTTGTAGTGAATTAATCCAGTAAAACTAGAAAAGAATGCTGGGTGAACTTTTTTTTTTCCAAGCCTGAGGTTGAGTTTCTTCTACAGGAACTTCAGATTTTTTCCCAAAAATCAACTGGATGAAAGATCTAATAACTGATACTAATACTGAGACACAGTGATGTTTACCAAGATGGCTCAAAGAAAATGCTTACCTTTCTTTGCAGTCTTTTCCAAATATGGAAAATTATTTGTATCTCCTGATCCTACTTTGAAAAATGGAACATCCAGCTCATGAAGAAATTCCACAGCCATCTACAAGGAAAAGAAGTCACTGCATTTTAACACACCAGCTGGATCAAAGAATAAAGGACCACTGTGCCGGGAAATAACCCTTCAGAACAGCAAAACCAAGGCTGAGTTAAACAGGTGGACATTATAGAAATCTCCCCAAAATACACTGCTCCTGAAGTAACATTTGCTATCCTGAGGATATGGGTTTCTGCTTTCCCTCCAGGTGAAAGTATAACTATGGTGCCTTCCTGCATACTTGAACTATTTCTCTACAGGTTTTTGACTGGGATCACGGTCGGAAGGCAGCCTCTTTGGTCTCCCAGCCACAGCTGGTCAGCCAGCTGTAGGAACTGCTGCTTAGTACAGGAGAGTTCCACTGCTCCTCTAACTTAAGGATGAACTTGTGGGCCACAGCGTTCTTGCTTATTTTTTTTTTTTTTTTAGCACTACCAGAGAGAGCAACTACCTGCAGATGAGAGCTTGCCCTTTGAAGGAATGCGTTACAGGCACGCAGGCAGTCTTCCAGCCACACACTTCCTGCAGGTCAGAAATATTAAACCACAGAGAGTTTAAAACTACAGGTAGTTTTCCCGAATGGATCTGCCACACTGAAAAACTGTACGAGCATATTAAATAGGTGCCTGAAAAAAAAGAAGCACCCAAAAAGGGAAATACAAAATGGGCTTGCTTCTAGGAGAGATACTAGAAAATAAAATATGCCAAAGAAAAGGCTATCAAGCAGTTTACTCAAATGCTAATTATACTCTGCTTTTGCCTAAAAATAAGTGTGCTATTTTGAAGACAATTCAGGAATTACTGGAGGCTCCCTGAAAACTGGTTTTACATTAGTAAGGGCCTTTTAAAAATTAGTATTGTCAAGGAAGAAAATTCTAATTCCAAACCTATTAAAGGCAAGAGATATTTAAATCCTCCATTTCACCTCCAGGGAAAACAATGAAGTGGTTAACTTTGTTCCCCATCAATCACTCACAAACACTTTTAATTTCTTCAGCTCATTCCTTGTTGCAGTTAAATTTACTTAGTGCCAGAGAAAGAGTGCTAATGTCCAGAGGAGAAACTCATTTGGTCTAAATTTTCTATCATCAGTATGATGGATACGCAATTTCTTGTACCTAGGATGTATAACATTAAAATGCATTGTGCATAAAGACAATGAATACATTATATTAAACGCCCACAGATCTAATCTCAGGAGATGGCACAAAATGAAATATAACAGAATAAGCCTCATATCTAAAGCCACTCTTCGTTAGGTAAATATCTCTTGAAAATTGGCAGCTTTTCTGTAGGAGATTCAAGGATCAGGAAGTAATTTCAAGCAACAGGAATGACATTAAAGGGAGTGGTTCAATGAGATCCTGTTTTGTCTCCAGTACACACTGGAACAGAATAGATAAAGAAGTTATTCATAGCCTTTGTATTTACTTCACACATCAGTTCATCGATTTCCCCATATAGTTAACACACAATTTAACCTCTTTGACATAGCTGGAGTTCCAGAGATTATGTTAAATTTACAGAAGTTAACATATTCTTGAGGATTTATGATGTCAATTTATGCAATGTTTTCCTTAAATTCCAAACCCATGTCTTGCAGAAATGCCACCAGAAATCTTAAGAGATGTGTAATGTAATTACTGTTCAAACAAGAGGGCACAAACATGTATCAGTTCTGTTAATTAGCTGATAAGGTCACACACAATGGAGCACAGCAAAGGGAAAGAAGGATCCCAGAGGCAGAAAGTGATCTTAGCTGCTGCATATGAAAGGTGTTCTGTATTGCACTATAGCCTTTAAAACCCAGAGGTTTTAACATCAAAGAAGGAGTGTGGGTTTTTTCTCCCCCCCGCAAAGGCACATGGGTCTTTTAAGGTCCCAGATACAGAAGTCCAAGAATCCTGGGTTCAATTACTCCTTTGTTAAAGGAGTACATGGTTTTCAGCAGGTCTTCTACACATGGAGACATGACAAACAAAACATGGCACCACTCTCTTTTCACAGATCTATTTCTGAATCCATGGCACTGAGCTTTTGCCATACACACAAAACATCTTTTTGTCTATCACGCATCTGAAGAAGTTCTTTATGACATTTGGTGCTTGTACCACCTCAGAAGAGGCACAGCAACTCAAGGATTTTGAGGACAGTAAGTTGATAGCAGCAGTAAGAATGGCCAGAGCACTAGAAAAGATAGCATAAAAAGCCTGAAGGAACTGAAATTGCCTAGACCAGAGATTACAAAAGAGAAGAGGTGCAATAATTTTTGTGCTCAATTACCAGAGAGGAGGTACAAGTATGAACTTTTACGTCAGATAAGGCAGGACAAAAAATTATGAGGAAGGAGATAACCCTAATATATTAGGAATTCTCTCTGATGCTGAGAGTGAGGCACTGAACAGATCACCATAAATATTAAGTAAATCACATCCTTATCCCATCCTAGATGAGGCTACTTGCAGGAAGCCAGGGACATTGATCTGCTGGCCATATGCAAGAGTGGCTAGCATACTTCTGCTAGGGTCTCTTTCAGTTTGCTTTTCTGTATTTTCTAGGCCACAAAGAAGAGTAAAGCAATCTGTAATCTCTGATCTACACTGAAGTTCAATTGTTACCTGATCTTTCCAGTTTACACATTTCAAATGTGTGTTGCATTTCTTAGTACTGTAACTAACACTACTGAGGTTAAGAAAGGAATCTGGTTTAAATACAGAAGGAAGTTGAAATTCCTGGAGCCAACATACCAGACAACACTGGAGAGCAATCAGATCACACTGACTTGATCTAAACTCTTAAAGCCTTGATTGTTTATGAAGTTCAAACTGAGACCTTGTCTCTAATATTATTTACTGTCTATAAACAGTAGTAGCAGTGCACACAGCAAGTCTTCCAAAGTGTTCAGCCATCTACTCAACCATGGCAGGTTCACCATACAGGTGAACTGGCAAATTACTCTAGTCCCCCTGTGTAGAAAGTCATCATCCACATATTCTTTTTATGCAAGAACTATTACACCTAATAATACCCAACAGACACAAAAGCCAGACTCCCACTGTCATTCCAGTATGGCTTACATACCTCATCCATGCCAGAAGCTGTGAAGAAAATGCCAACCTCCTCTGCATACTTCTTTAGCTCTCTGTATTGGTCATGGCTAAACTCCAAGTGGCGCTTGTGCTCCCCATAGGTCTTTCCCCAGGAGTGTTTAGAGGTGTAGGGCCTTTCTAAGGCTTTCTTGTTGAATTTGTACTCCAGTTCACTCTTCTGGAACTTAGCACAGTCTGCTCCACATTCCTGCAAAAGAAGCTGGTGTACACTGAGTGGCAGTGCAAGAAAAACTGCACTCATCTTGAGTGTGAACACAAGAACTGAGCAACTAATGTGCTTGTTTGCTGTGGAGTTTTCACAGTATCATCACAGCAATCACAGAAATGGTAATGAACACAGAGTGACTGAGGACCTGCAGACATATAAGCCCTTTTACTTCAACACTTAGTAGAGCAGCAGTCTAGAGGGACATCATACTAAACGTACAAAACTGCATAGCCTCTTGCTATGAATGCCACTTATTTGAGAAGCTGATTTCTGTGGTGTTTTATTCCAGCTCAGCTGTCACTTCATAATTTTACATTAAAACAAGACACAGGATTCTGTAGAACAAGGAATTTAAATGTGAAGTTCACAGAATCATCAGTGTTGAAACAGACCTTCAAGATCATCTGGCCCACCCGTCCACCCAGCACTGCAACCCTTGAATCAGCCAGTGCGAGATCCAGATGCCCCGTGAACACCTCCTGGGATAACAATCCATTGGAAGTGACAATGTAAAGATATATCCTCATTACACTATTTTGCAATTACACCACAGTTACAGCTCTGAACACACTGTGCCCTGAGCTGTTCTTCAGTGATGTACTGTCTTCTGTCTAACAGACATAACATCGAATTTCAAAGCAGCCTGGCTGTCTTCCTGGATGGCACAAGCATTACCTGAAAAAAACCCTAATGCAACCAGGTCAAACTGGAGGTTCATCAGAAATAGTTCAGCAGCTGCCCGATTCTTCCCAGATTCCCTCACACCACAGCTGCAGGGCTGTGGATGTCACACAGAATCAGTTAGGTTGGAAAAGACCTGAGATCACCGAGTCCAACCGATGGCCGAACACCAACATGTCAACTAGACCATGGCACTGAGTGTAATGTCCAGCCTTTCCTTAAACAGTCCAACCTGTCGTTAAAGGCCTCCAGGGATGGTGACTCCACCACCTCCCTGAGCAGCCCATTCCAGTGTCTCATCACCCCTTCTATGAAGAGTTTCTTCCTATGCCCAATCTAAACCTCCCCTGAGGCTCTGTCCTCTCATCCTGTCGCTGGCTGCCTCGGAGAAGAGGCCGACCCCCACTTGGCCACAGCCTCCTTTCAGGTAGCTGTAGAGAGCGACACAACTCCCCTTTAGAAGATTC